TAAAACAGGGAAATTGAAAAAAGACACTATATGTAATACTAAGGAAATATAAACTAGGAACAAATTTAACAAAATATGCATAAGACACCAGTTAGGACGGCTATTATTTCAAAAAATAGAAAACAGCAAGTGTTGGTGCAGAAGTGAAGAAATTGGAATCCTTGTGCATTGTTGGTGGGAATGTAAAATGGTGCTGCTACTGCGGAAAACAGTACAGCAATTCCTTGAAAAATTAAAAAGAGTTATCATTCAATCCAGCAATTTTACTTCTGAATATAAACCCAAAATAAATGAAAGGAGGGACTCAAACAGATATTTGTACACCCATGTTCACAGCAGCATGATTCACAATAGACAAAAGGTGGGAGCAACCCAAGTGTCCATCAATGGATGAACAGTAAGCAAAATGTAGTCTATATACATGATGGACTATTATTCAGCCTTAAGAAGGAAGGAAATTCTGATACATGCTACAACAACATGCATGAACCTTGAAGACCTTGCGCACAGTGAAATAAGCCAATCACAAAAGGACAACTGTTCTATGGCTCCATTTATATGAGGCACTCAGAGGAGAGAAACTCATAGAGACAGAAAGTAGAATGGTGGCCACCAGGATCTGGGGGAGGAGAGAATGGGGACAGAGTTTCAGTTGGAGAAGATGAAAAAGTTCTGAAGATGGATGGTCGTGATCACTGCACAACAGGGTGAATGTACTTAATCCCTCTGAACATTTTTATTCTTAAAAATGGTTAAAGTGAAACAACTCATGTAGCTCAAAAGCAAAAACAAAAACACAACCCAGTTTAAAAGAAAATGGGCAAAGGAACTGAATAGACATTTTTCCAAAGACATGCGGATGGCCGAAGGCACATGAAAAGATGCTCAACATCACTAATTATCAGGGAAATGCAAATCCAAACCACAGTGAGGTGTCCCCTCACACCAGTCAGAATGGCTGCTGTCCAAAAGACAAGAGAGAAGTGTTGGCGAGGATGTGGAGGAAAGGGAGCCCTCCTCCAGTGTTGATGGGGATGGAAACTGGTGCAGCTACTATGGGAAACACTATGGAAGTTCTTCCAGAAATTAAACACAGAACTACCATACGATCCAGCAATCCCACTTCTGGGTAGTTATCTAAAGTAAATGAAATCAGGATCTTGAAGAGACACCTGCACCCCCACATTCATTGAAGCATTATTCATGATAGCCAAGATAGGTGTACACACACACTCACACACACACACACACACACACACACACACACACACACTGGAATGAATATTCAGTCATGAGAACGAAGGAAATCCTGCCATTTGTGACAACACAGATGAACCTAGAGGACATTATGCTAAGTGAAGTAAGCCAGACAGAGACAGACAAATACCGTATGGTATCACTATGTGTGGAATCTTTAAAAAAAAGGTAGAAAAGTGGTTGCCAGAGCCTGGTGGGGGTGGATAGGGAAGGTTGGAAATAGTGCAAAGTTTCAGCTGTAAGATGAATAAGGTCGGAGGACGCAGAACATGGTGACTGTAGTTGACAGCACTGTATGGTGCAACTGAAATTTGCTGAGAGTAGTACTTAAATGTTCTTGCAAAAAAAATAATAAATATGTGAGGTGAAGGATCTGTTAATTCACTAGAGGGGGGAATTCTTTCATGATGTATATCAAATCACCACAATGTACATTTTAAATAGCTTACAATTTTATATATGAATTATACCTCAATAAAGCTAAAATGTTTTAAATGGCTAAGATGGTCCATTTTATGTTATATATATTTTACTACAATAAAAACTGGTTTAAAAATATGTACAAAACCTGTATGTAAGAGAACTATGAAACTTAAATATGTTAAGGAAGAAAATAAGTGGCTAGGGATTTCATGGTCATGAATAAAAGTTGTCAGTTCTTCCCCACATTGATCTGGGATTCTGTACAACTCCAGTAGAAATCCAAAAGGCATTTTTCTGTGAAATTTGTCAAGCTGATTCTAAAATTAATATGGAAGAACAAAGAGCATGAATACCTAAGATGATTCGTAAGAATAATAAGGAACAATTTGTCTTGCTAAATGGCAAAATTTATTATAAAGTTACATTCCTTAAAGACAAGGTGATATCAACTTAGGAACAGCTAAGTAAAGCCCAGAAACAGACCCATGCAAATGAAGTTTTGATGAGAGAGCAGCATGACAGAGCAGTAAATGGGAAAAATTTTAACACTGGATTCCTGTCTCACACCATAAACAAAAATTCTAGTCCTAATTATTAAGGGTTGAAATAACTAGAACAAAGCTTTTGGTAGAAAATATGGGAATTTTTGAATGAAATACATATTTCAGTGTGATTTAGAAATCCTTTCTTATCACTCCATCTGAATCACACCAAAGACACAAAAGCTTTGCTATTTTATCCTAACTATAACATTTTTAAATTTGGCCACTTAAAAATGAAGATCTTCAAATTAAAAAACAAAAACAAAAAACAAGCCACAACTGGGAGGATATATTTGCAAACACACAATACTGAAAAAGAGTAAATCAATATGTAAAGAATCCCACGAATCAATAATTAAAAAGTGATAGAAAAGTGGGCAAAAGAACATGGGCATTTCAAGAAGAGGAAATTCCTGTGTTCCACAAACATGAAGAGCTCTTTAATAGTAAGGAAAATGTAAATCACCACCATAATGAAATATTGACACTCATTTGATTGATAAAACGTAACTCTGACAATATCAAGTGTTGGAAAAAGTCTAGCTTTCATATATTTCTGGCAGGATTATTTCTCATTCTACTTTGGAAAACAATTTGGTTTTGTCTTATAAATTTGAATATTCCCATACCTTACAACCAGCATTTCTCCTCCCAGGTATATACTCTGAGGAAACATTTGTACATATGACCCAGGAAATGAATAACAAAATGTTCATGACAACACACTTCAGATATGGGGGTGGGGACCCCAAATGCCCACAGCAGCAGAATGAGCAAACTGTGCCATCTTTATGCAGTGGAATACAACACACCAATGAGGGTAAATACACTACATCCACTAGGATGTGACCAGCCATCACCAGCTCCGAAGATGCAGGGGACCACGAGCCAAGGGATGTGGCAGCCTCTAGAAGCTGGAAAAGGTAAGAAAGTGGATTGCTCCCCAGGCCACCAGAAAGGGCCACAGCCTGCCAACCCTACCTTTCAACCCTGTGATGCCCCCTTTGGACTTCTGACCTCCAGAATTACAAGGTAATGAATGCATGTTGTTTTAAGCCACTAAGTGTGTGGTAATTTGTTACAGCAGCATCATGAGACTAATAGAGTGCGTATGTATGTAAGGTTGTCGGGGGCGGGGAGAGGAGACTCCCAGGCAGGCAGGGAGGGAGGACGCTGGCTCTCCTCGCACACATCAGGCCTCCTGGTTGGGAGCCAGGTGTGCCAGCCTTCCCTTGCTGGGTCCCCTTCAGTGGGCCCCCAGCACCTCCTGAATACCAGGGGGGGACCAACAGTCTGTAGGGCTTGGAGCACTTGCTCTGTCTACTGACCCCAAAGGTCCCCTGCCAGGTGGATAGGCCCCAGGCAATTGTTTCTCAATATATAAAAGAGGAAACTGAGGCCTGGAAAAGGGAGGTTAGCCAAGAGCAGCGAGAGCTCCATCTGAGGGCAGGAAATGGCTAGTGCCACACCTGAGAACTCACGTTTCCCATGAGGGTAGCCTGCTCCTTCCACAGACTCCCCACAGCTGGACAGGCCCTGGCAGACTCCTCTCTGCATCTGTGCTGGGAACGCAGCCCCACAATATCACAGTGTCATCATAACTGCCACCCTCCACACCCTCCCAGTCCCTCCTCCCTGGAGACAGGACCACAAACCATAATCCAGGCCCAGCCAGACCCTTGGAAGCAGAACCCTTGAGTTCCATTGGCCGGAAGTAGTGTCACAGTGGGGCAGGGAGGTCCTGGGGCATGTGGGAATGGTGAGCAAAGCATTCTACTCCAGGCCTAGGGACAGAAGGGGGCGAGGCAGACAGGGGTGTCTGCACCGGAGCTGGCCCCTTGCCTTGTGCAGCTGTCCCAGCACCTGGGGTACCTGTGCCCCCCTGAGGAACCTAGTCTATCGAGGCACACAACTCACCCCCCGACCTCAGCCTCCATGAATAAAGCAGGGGGTAGAGAGGAGAGTCAGAGTAGGGACGGGTCCCCAGACCGCTGCCCCCAGTTCTGGGGCAGAGGTAAGGGTCTGGCCTCAGTGGCTTTACTACCATGAGCAGCAGAGAAGGGAGTTTTGAAGGTTTGGTGGGGGTACATTTGGGGCACTGCCGTGTGGTGGTGCTTCCTTCCTCCCAGAGCCAGGAGGAGGGCCCCAGCAGGACCCGACCTAGGTACTCTCACCCAAGACTCCCAGCCTGCTCCTGAAAGGAGGGCAAGGCTCGTGGGGCCTCCTAGGCAGGTGACGGGGTGGTGGGTCAGCAGGGAGGCAAAGCCCAGGGTGTATGCGCTAGGGCTGAACTCGAGAACTCGGCGCTGCTCAGCGCCTACAATGCCTTGGGGTGTTGGGTAGGGGCAGGGTAGGCCTTAGGCCTTGGGGACAGGTTGCTCATGCCCTAGATGAGAATCCTTGAGGATAAGTGTAAGGGCACCTACGAAATCCATTCCAAATGGGAAGCCTGAGGCCTGGAGTAGGAGGGTTCTGCCACCAGGCCTGAGATGGAAAGCCTGCCTTATTCCACAAAGCTGTCCATAATGGTGTCCCTGCTAGCACGGCACCCCAAATCCAGCTGTTCTACTCCTGAGGGAGGGTCAGGATCAGGCCTGGACATCTCCTCTGAGGCCCCAGGTCTCTGCTGCCGACCTCCCACCAGCAACTACTAAAGGCAAACATCTCCCCTTAACCAGAGCAAGCTGTGGGGCACAGTTTAACAGGTGCAAAAAAACCTCCCCACAATGGCCCACAATCACTGAAAGTCTCCAAAAAAAACACACCTGTCCAAAGGCAGTAGGTGAGTCTACATTTATTCTGGTACCAAAGGACCTGTTAAGTCTCTTTCCAGGAATGAAGCCCATTCTGCCTCAAAGGGAGGTGAGTGTCCACGCCTCAGAGGACACTGCCTTCAGCTTTGAGATGACAGTTTCCTCACTCCCACCTAAAGTTTTCCCCAAGTGGGAGGTTTCAGCCTGGGTGCCACATCATGTCAAGAAAGACTTTTGAGTGTCCCCAAGCAGTGTTTAGCTTGGGGCTCCATGACTGGGTACACAGTAGGGGGCTAAACAGAACTTTTCCCCATCACTTCAAAGCTGAGACCATGACTAATAGATACCTATGTTTCAAAAGAGGGGCTGAACACATCTACGCTGAATTTACAGACAGTAAAACTGGTGGGGCGCCAGCCTCCCCCACAGGCTCCATCAGAGAAGGTGAGTGTGAGGGGAGGCTCTCAAAGACCACTTCCTGGGGCTGGGGTGCCTGTGAGGAGAGGGTGGGGCCTCACTGTCTGGTAGGAGGTTGGCTGGAGGTGCCACTGAAGACAGGAAAAGGGGAGGCTGAGCCAGCTCTCCCTGCCACTGGCTGGCAGGTCCGGGCTCATTTCGCCAAGTAGCTGCTGGGAAGGTAGGCTGACTCAAGGTGGTTGGATGGGAGCCCTGCTGAGGGCTGCCTTCTGGGAGACATGCAGGGCACTGTGGGGTCCATGAGGGCAGCAGAGAGCACATCACACGTATTAAGGTACAATACAGAGGTCCCAGAGGACCTTGGAGGTGTCACAGACAGGGACTGGGCCAAGTTCCTCCCTCTCCCCACTTCTGGTCTTCGAGCCATGAGTTAGACGACACTGAGGCAGGGGGCAGGAGGTGGGGGAGTCTCTGAAGCTCTGGTTTGACTGCACACACAGTCTTGCTCAGCAAGATCAAGGGCCCCCAGTGGCCCCACCTTAGCCAGAGGGCCTGGCACAGCTACTGGGATGGACCACAGCCTTCCCTTCACCCACCTGCCTGCACATCCTCCACAATCTCCCATTTTTTCTGCAGCTACTTCCCCTATACTTAGAAAGTCCCCACCTAACTGTTCTGGACTTGACTATGTTTTGAGAGTAAGGGACACCAGGTGGAGAGGATCAGAGGAGTTGTACCCCCACAAGACAGTCAGAGAACAAGTTAAACCCAAGACCCTAACCCAGAACAGCATACTGGGCAGGGTCCTGCGGGAGATGCTCCTGGGACTGGATGCCATGAGCCAGGAGGTGGCACCTAGGCCAAGTCACTTCTGCCCGATCAGCGAGGCTGGTTTGCTCACAGGTGCCAGACTTCCCACGGGAATGCTGGGCAGCCCCCTGCCACTGCGGGTCTTGCTTTCAGAGAGACAGTCAGAAGTACGTGCTGCTCACAAAGTCCAGCCTGGGGCCAGAAGGTCTTCCCAAGGCTTCTGCTGCCTTTTCTGAGGGTGCCAACTTCAGGGACCTGGTGGGAGTGGAAGGCCATTGCTGCCTGGCCAGGAACTCGTCCCACGACAGTGGACTTCACCAACCCCTCCCCAGACTAGGGGATCTAACCCAAAGCTGCCCAGATGCCTGTGGTTCCTAAGGGCCCCATATTGGCCTCTGAGCAACAATGGTCAAATGGTGAGGCTCAGGTTCTGGGCTTCAGAGAAAGCAAGCAGCTCACCGTGGGTGGGGCCCCTGCTCCAGGTCCTTGATGGTGTCCTTCAGGGTCTGGCCACGAGTCTCTGGCAGCAGGGCACACAGTAAGCCAGCCCCGATGGGGAGGCTGCCATAGATGAGCATAGGGAGGGCTGCCTGGTACTCGCCCAGCAGGATCACAAGTGGTGTGATGATGCCGCCGATCCTTGAGAAGATGCCCACCAGCCCCATTCCTGTCTGCCTGTGGGAGGGCCAGTGCAAGCTGAGCAGACCCAGCCTCAACCTGGACCACAGCTCCACCCAGCACACTCCTCACAGAGCTTAGACCCCTCATTATGGCACCACAGACCCCAGGGCCTCCAGCCTCATGCCATCTAACCATGCCCAGGCTTCCTGCTCTCTCTCCTATGCATGGAACTCCTTGCAGTTGACTCTGTGCTATGCTTGTCCACCTCAAGGCCTCTCTGCCTGCCTGCTACACTCTGGTTCCCTCACCAAACCTCAGGCCAATGGTTGTACCTTCTGACCACCCTCTACCCCCACATGGGTGTTCCCTCCTCTGAGCCATTCCTTCTGAGATGTACTCCGCAGTCCAGTCCTGACAAGGCCAGGCCATGGCCTGCTTCTGTATCTGTCCTTCACCTGCCTGGGGACAACTTGGGGGCTTGGACTAGATTTCTAGTTGCCCTGGCCACTGCCACCCAGCACTGCTGCTCATGGGCAGCCCTGGAAGCTATCTGTGGAACAGTGTTGAGGGTGGAGAAAGGATGGCCAAAATCAGGGTCCCGGCAGCAGAGGAGCAGGAGCTGCCAGCTCTTACCGGATGATGGTGGGGAAGAGTTCGGCAGAGTACACATAGGAGATGGTAAAGCCGGCAGCCGTGGCAAACTTCCCCACCACGGCCAGCACAGTGACCACCACGGGAAGATCTGGTGGAGGAGGCTAGTCAGCCGCGTGGAGGGTGGGTAGGCAGATAGCTCCATCATCCAGCCCTGCCCCTCCCCTCTCCACCCGTTCTGCACTAGGAAGGCAAGCAATGGGCCTCCGGCCCCAGGTGGTGGGGGATGCCAGCCCAGGTACCTGCTGGGACGAAGATGATGGCAATACACATGAGGCCACCCAGAACCAGCGTCCCCAGTTGGCTCCACTTGCGGCCCAACCACTGCATCATGAAGATGCTGGAGTAGCGAGCAGGCACCTCAACTGCTCCAAAGATTAGCTGTGTCAGGTAGATGTCCAGGCCAAAGTCCCCCACTTGCAGGCTCAGGCCGAAGTAGCCCAGACTGTCCACAAACCTATGAAGCAGCCAAGGGTCCCTGTCACACTCAGAGGGAGAGCCCTGGCCGGAAGTCACAGGGGGGAGAGACGCACGCACGTGCGGCCCATCCCAGACAGGGCCCATCGCATGTCCCACATCCCACCAATGCCAGGGAAGCAGCAACCCTTTGGCTTGGCCTCAGCCTGGGGTCTGGGCCCCAGTGTGCTCACCAGACATAGGAGAGAATCAGCGTCACCTTCCGCAGCTGTGGGTGTCTGATCAGATCCAGGGCATTCCCCAAGGGGCCTGTGTCCTCCCGGACCAGCTGGCAGGAAGATGTAGGGTGAGGGTCACACAAAAAGGTCTGTGGAGGTCAGGTTCCAGGTGGGTGGCGGGCCCACTGGAAGTACCTGGCCCAGGAGCTCTGGGGAGAGTTTCCGCCCGTTGACTGAGGCCGCCTTCTGGATCACTTGTTTAGCCTCCTCCACCCTCCCCCGGGCCAGGAGCCACCGTGCTGATTCTGGCAGGGCCCTGGAAGTGGGGAACCTGTCACTTTGGGGCCTGGATGGGCCTCCCACAGTCACAGGGCACCCGTCCATCCCACAGCAGAGCTGAGCTGGGGGGGCTACTCCCCAAAGAGAACCTTACCAGAAGTAGAAGAAGAGCAGAAGGACTGGTGTGGTGCCGGCGATCTGGAAGGACCTCCAGTTACGGATGCCATAGGCGAGTCCTGCCAGCACCATCTGCCCCAGGGAGAAGGCACAGTGGGCCAGCACCACAGCCCGAGTCCTCCACAAGGGCCCCACCCACTCTGTGACTGGGAACAGAGAGGCTGAGACTGCTGCCCTCCCGCCCCCGCGTTCCCAGGGGCCAGCGGGTGGGCCATGTGTGCAGGCCTGGTGCGGCCCCACCAATGGTCTGCGATGCAGCCGCCCCAGGCCTGCTCCGTGGCTCTGGCTCCAGGGCCCTGATACTCACGTAGGGCGACGTTGCTGAAGGTGTACCCTGCAACAGCAGTAGCCACAGCAAAGCGCAGGGCCATGTAGAATGCAAAGCTGGGCACAAAGGCTGTGGCGGGACCGAGGACAGCGAAGAGGAGCAGCTGTGTCAGGACAGTGGCCTTGCGGCCAATCCTGGGGCAACAAAGGGATCCGTCCGAAGCGGAACTCTGACGGGAAGGAAGGGCCAGCCCTGCCCTGGGCTGTCTGTCTAACAGAGGACATGTGGCCCTCCCTGCAAGGAAATCCAGCCTTGTGCCTGGAGACCAAGGGCACGCAAGGTCGGGATGAGCTGACCCAGGCTCTCACCTGTCACAGAGGGGCCCGAAGATGAGGGCGCCGGTGAGGAGCCCAGCCATGTACACCGACTGCGAGGTCTCCTTCAGGCTCTTCTGATCACAAACCAGATTGAACTGAGGCAGACACAGGCAGATGTGAACCCAGGGTACATGAAGAGCGAATTTTTATCTCCTAGCCCACCCACCGCAAACCTCTCAGGGCAGATGCCCACCGTTCCCAAACTGTATGCCAACGTACCCCAGGGCACAGCACCATATGTAAAGTTTCAAAGGAAAATACAGCAATATTTAATGTCTGTGATATTTTATCAACTGCAGCTCAGGAGAGCTCAGTTTCAATGTGAGATCATGTAATCCAGTGACATATCTACATGATGTTCTGTTTTCCGCAGTTGCTTGGAAATATGCAAGCACACGTAAAAATCAACGTGCAAGAGAAAATAAGGGCGGCAGTGTTCCAGGTTTGAAAAGTCTTGCATTCCCAAGAGGCACATACATTGTTAGTAAGTAACTGTACTTAAGAATGAAATAAAAATGTTTTCTTTTGATTCATGTACATACATATTTTTTTAAACAGCTACTAAATTATTAGGAATCAATTATTTATTAAGTTGTTTTAGATCTGATTACTTAATACATAAAACTATAAGGCCTTTCCTTTGGGCCTGGAGATGCCATGTAAAATTACTGACACGCTGCAGATTCAGAGTAGGAACCTCTGGTGGACCACTAATTGCTGCTTCCTGAAAAATGTGGCCTCCTCCCCACAGCCAGGGCACCCCTGTGGCCCGTGTGGGCCTCTTCAAATTTCCCATCTGGCTGTAAAATCCCCTGGAAACTTATCATTCATAGGCAATTGGAATCCTAAGAAAGCTTCACACACCCTTTGAGGGAGAAGACAGAGGCACATGCAGGCGCATGTACACACACTTGGGGTGGGGTGGGGAACCCATCTGGAGACAGAAAGAGCCTGACAGAAACTGAGAAACCAGGTGGAGAAAACATGTGCATTTGTGTAACTCTGTGCATGCCTACTGCATGTGCACGTACAGTAAGGGTGTGACAGACCCCACCCCACTGATTTGTGGGCCCCTTGGAGATTGATGCTACCCAAACACAGATCAGCACATGGCACGTAAGCCCTCCTGCCAGCTCACAAAACTGGTTCACAAGTAATGCTTTGAGTACTTATTCTGGGTCGTGCACGAATCTAAGTGCTCTACGTGTACCATCTCATCTAACTCCGACAATAATCCAGATTTATTATTATACCCCTCAGAGGAAGGAGAGGTTAGGCAGCTAATCCTGAGTCCCACCACTGGGTGAGTTCAGATATCTCTATTGCCCAGACAGGGACTGGAACGGAGAGGAAGCTGAGGGGTGTCTGCTGAGGAACTGACACCTGCAGTCATCGTCATCAAAGAACCTTTAAGGAAGCTAACCTATCCAGGCAATCCCACTGTGCTCATAATTCTGCTCTCAAGGATGCCTGTTAAATACTAAGAACTTCCACTGTGTGTCAAATGACCAAGGGATTGCCCCCCAAGACAAAGCGGTCTAAACATGGGCTTTGTTGTCCCTGTTGTTGCTCCCAGTCTTATACCCTGTTTGGTTCTTGTTTAGCAACCACAGATCGCCTTTGTAGTTAGATGTTATTTAAAATAAATAATAAAGGCCTGCTGCTGTCAGCCTCAGGAGCCAGAGCTGAGTGGCTGTGTGTGACTTTGAGCCTGTTGATCCATCTGTTGGTGTGTTGGTTTCCTGTGTACAGAATGGGAGTAAAATACATAGTATCACCCAGGATTAAAGAGATGAACACAGGAAGTTCCCAGTAAATGTCAGCTCAGCAAGGTGCACTGGCCTCTGTGCTCCTGAAACTCACAGCTGGTGACAGACACAAGAGGCCGGAGTGCCACCAAGGCATGGGTGCAGACCATGGGGTCTTACACAGCTGGCCCCCTGCTCAGCGGCCACTGCTCACTATAGCTTATACAACCCCATCTCATCAAGTTCTCATTCCAACCCCAGGAAGGCTTAGCATGCTCACCAAGTGGCAGCAGACACCAAGCTTGAATAGGTGCCATGGTGTGGTGGCATCACAGTGCAGGGGCACAGATCTGAAGGGGCTCCAACCTGGGACACCAGTCATTGGCCTCCCCAGCCCTGGAGCCTGCCATGGGGCCCACGGAATGCCACCCCCCTTTCTTGGAGCACACCCCTTCCCATTGTCCTCCCCTCTTCCAAAAGCTTCAGTGGCCCCCTTGGTGTCCAGGAGAAAGCTGCGATTCCTTGGCACTTTACCGAGACCCCAGGAGAGCTGGCTCTTGCCTACTCCCCAACCTTTCCTATGTCAGCTCCGCAAACAGTCTGCACATTCTTGTGCCTCCGCACCCTGGAAATGGCTATTCTCTCTTCTTTCCCTTCCCTCCCATTCCTGCCCCTTCACTGGTCCCAGGATAGAGCACACTGTTGTTATTCATCAAGGTCTAGGTCCCTCCGTAGCTGGAGGTATATGTGGACAGAGCTGAGAGTCAGTTTGTTCTTACTAAAGACAGACATCCAGGAAGCGTTGGCCAGGTACATGAGAAGGAGAAATGCACAGCCTATAAGGCAATGTGCCCCTTTCTTCTCCAGGTGGGACTGCTTGTATTTCAGTTTCAGTATGAAGCTGCCAGTTACAATAAGGCACCTCGGTACGTCAGCTCAGACAGAGTCCTGAGCTGGTGTGGCAGAACCCCTCCTCAAAGATGGGAGACAAGGTCGAGGGTCTCACACACAGGGAGCTCCACTCTGGAATTGAGCTTGGGGTTATCATGTGGGGCAGGGCACCAAGTACCAGAGGTGTACATTCTCTTGAGAACCCAGTCTTCGGGGTGGAGGTGGGAGAGAGCTGGCCAGGAAGGGCAAGAGGTCCAGGGCCAAATACCAGGGCCAGTGCAGCCTAGGTTGACGGTGGAGGACCAAGAGAGAGGCCTGGAGCCCTTGAGAACACCCCCAATTCCTTCCTAGGCCCTGCCCACTCCTCTTCCAGGCCCCCCATGTTCCCACTGCTCCCTGGACCTGCTGCCTGCTCCCTGCAGCTGGCTCTTTCTTTGGCCCATTCCTCTTTTCCTCACCAACGTTCTCCTTACGCCTTGGTGCCCACTCACATACCAACTCCTCCAGGGAGCTGCCTGCCCATTTCCTGACCAGGAAGAAGCAAATTCTGGCCTTGAGCCCACCCAGCCCAGGGTGGGCAGGGGCCTCTGGGCTGTGGGAAGATGCCTGTGACTCTAGGACATGTCCTAACGTTAACTGAGCATTTGCTTTACCTAAGTTCATGTTTTTAGGGAGGGGCCCAGGCAGATAAACAGATTCCCATGCCCTCTGACAGTGTCTGCGCCCACCCTGAAGCTTCCCACTGGTGGGCCTGAGGCAGAGTGTGGCGATCACCTGCCAGGGCAACATGAGAGGCGACTGTGGAGCCCAGGTCCCTGCAAGAGTGGGAAAAAGCACAGCAACTCCAGGAGCCTGACTGCAGGCTCCGGATGGATTCAGGAGGCCAAAGAGTGGACATTCGCTTTTTCCCCTCTGAGTAAAAAAGTATTTCTTTTTTGGAGGCTTTCAGAGGACAATGTTTTAGCCAAAGGCAAATATTCACTTTTCAATATGACCATAAACTTGCCTCCAGAACCCTGGCAGCCTGTCTTCCTCCTGCTCCTCCTCGTCTCTCCTCCCCACAGTGGGTAGTTAGCCCAGGACGGGGCGGCAGCCTCTGGATCTGGCCCAGCCGGGCCCTCACTGACCTCTCCCTCTCTCCCTACATGGCCCCCAGGGCAGGTGCCGGCCCTCACTGGTCCTCAGGCACCCTGAGTGTGCCTGCCTCTGCACATGCTCCTGAACTCTCTGCTCACCTAGCCAAAGAGCATCACTCTGAAGGCCAGGCAAACTTCCAGATTGCTCGGCGCCGGCTCTAGCCCTCCATTCCCACCATGTGCTGGGCTGTTCTGCAGTTTTGTTCAGTTAAAGCCCCTGAGTATTAACTGTGCAGGGAACAGTCAGAGGTGGCAGGCAGAGATCTAGAGAGAGAAGCTGAAGGGTAGGAAGCCACATGGAGCAAGCAGGAAGGCAGACGAATGGATGGGAAAAGCTAGAGTGTAAGGGAGTCAGGCGAACAGGAGGACAGGGAAGCAGGCAAACTTGCAGGGGCAGACTGAAAGGCAGATGGACAGACAGATGGGAACACTGGAGACAGTCAGAAAGACAGGCAGGCAACTGGGCAGACAGGCAGAGGGACAGACAAAAGGAGAGGCAAATGGATGCACAGGTGGGCAGACAGAAAATGGTTAGAGAGGTAGATGGGCCAGCAGGCAGAGGACAAAGAGAAAAACAGGCAGACGGAAGGTCAGTCCTCCAGGGCTGGTGGTACAGGGGCAGACACAGTGACAGCAATGCCAGTGGCAGGGGCAGAGGGCCGGGCAGACGCCAACGACACAGACCAGGCAGGCAGGCAGAGGCAGTCCTACCTCGTTCTTTAGGGATGGGGGCCTGCCTTCGGGGTAGTCCCAGCCTGCCTGGCAAGTCTGCGTCTCATTGAAGCGGTGGCTAAGGATGTCCTCTAGGCTGGCACTGTTGGGGGGCGGCCGGAACATGAGGCAGGGCTCGGGACTGCCCGTGGCATCCAGGGGCACGCCCAGTGCCAGCTGCTCAGCAGCACTCAGGTTCAAAGTGTGGTTCTTGACCCAGGCCACGGAGCAGTGGTGGGCCTCGTCCAGGACCATGAAGACCTGGGCAAACATGTAGAAGGCAGACAGGAAGTTGGGCACACTCAGCAGTATCAGCAGCTGTACCTGGAAGCGACCGAAGTCGCCTATTTCAGCCAGAACCTGGGCAAACTGAGCCATTGGGCGCCTGTCACCACCTGCTCAGCCCGGGGCCACGGAAAGCTCTGTGGCTCCACTGGCTCGGGGGCTCTCACTCCTTTGGGCAGCTGCATTAATGTTTAACCCAGCCTTGCTTGGTTCCACCCATCACACCTTGGCTCCCTAGCTGGGGTCGGGGAAGGGTAGAACATGAAGAAACAGTCCTCTCGGGCTTGCAGACACTGAGGACGTTGTTGGCAGTGGGATGGCACAAGCATCGCAACACCTCTCAGGCCACCACCCAGGAGTGAGCTTTAGGCAGATGTTATGTGCTGTGAGACAGCCCCTGACTGTTACACCCTGGGCCATTCGCACCCAGCTCACACCCAACCTGTTACAAAAGAGCCCAAGTCCTGAGACTAATGGCAACAGAGGCAACTGAAGTCCCTTCTGTGGACAGGCCCACAGTGGGCAGCAGGGAATAAGTCAGAGGACAGCAAGGACCCAGCCTGCATGTTCACTCTGCCAGCAGCCCCATCTGGCCTCTTGACCTGATGACCTGATGATCTGATCTTCCTCCTGCGGGTCTGGCATGTGGTGGTGTGCACCACTAGTCAATCCCAGGGCAACACAAAGGTCTGGAGACCCACCAAGGGCCTAAGCACCTTTCCTGCTCAGCACCAAAGACATTGAAGTATGCACAGCAATTACAGAAGAGCTGAGAGCTGCATTTTGAGCTCTAATCAAGGAAGAAACCATTTTATCACATTCACAAGATAAAAGCAGATGTGAGCTGCCCCAGTGAAGCCCCAGCCACCCTACACAATCTAAGTGGTAACAGAGGACACAGGACAAAGTCTCCACCACAGCCCAGGGGAGAAGCCCAGGTGGGAGCCGCTCCTAAGCTTGCGGGAGTCAAGGCTGGGATGGTGGCTGGCAGGTCAGCATTCTTACTGGACTGGGACAGACAGGAAGGCAGGACCCCAGAGAAGAGGACTCTCCCAAAGCTAAAAGCCCTGTCCTATTACCCTGGGTGGAGTCTTACAGGAGGTAGACCCAGAGAATGGGAAGCATTTATTTTAGTTCAGGACTGGTTGGTGGGGAATGATGGGATTAAAGAGAGCATTTGGGAAAAGTGCATGTGTGAACACATGCATTCACCTGTTTGCTGAATATGCCCAGGAAAGCCTTGTTTTGAATTTTGAGCCCTTTTATAGCTGGGCAGAGGCAGGTGGCACAGAGAATACAAGGAAGCAAGGTTCTACAGGGCTGTTCCGGATAGCATACTAGTGCCGCCGGCCTGGCTGGCATGCTGCTGGCTGCCTGTTAATCAGTCAGCATGTACGCTAGTCACGGCAGGGCAGACGCTGGAGGGCAGGGGTAAGGGCCCAGGGCCCCGCCAAGGGAGAGCACCCGCCCCAGAGGCTCAGCTCTAGCTCTTCTTCCTCACCTGATCCCATCCTTAGTATCATCTCCACTGTATTGTCAAGAAAACAGCTACCAGTTGCCCCTGCTCAGTTTGGGGCTCTCATTCTGGGGGTGACCTGGTCATCCTCAGTCCTCAACACCTTCAGGCAGGAAAAGGACTTTGGCTTCTTTTGGCTCTTGGTCTTTGCTACTGATTGTGATCCCCGGTCCGTCCCTTGTTAAAAAACAAAAGGCAGCCAAGTGCATTGGAAGACCTAACTGGCTTTGGTCAGTGATTCATGAATCGGACAGCATCCTACCTGGCAAGGAGAAACAGGCTCCCAGGAGCTGTAAAGAATGGAAGGCTTTCACAGGCAGAAGGGGGCAGAAAAGGGGGATTTCTAGCAGTGGATTGCTTCAGTCAGTCACCTTCCTTTGGGGCAAGGTGGAAGTCTACTGGCAGATACTCACTAGTGCTTACCAGGTAATCCCGGATTGACTGGTTAAAGGTTGTGTTCCTTTAGAATGTGAGGAGGACGGGCTGAAACTGCAGTTAGGTTAGGTTTTAAGTCTTGGTTTGCTGATGTACTGCTTAGCACAAGGAACTCCATTTGAGGCCTGTTGTTATGTTTTTAACCCTTCTATCCCTCTGGGCCTCAGTATCTCCATCTGTGTAAAGGAAGAGCCTGAACTAGATCGTCTCAGGATTCTTCGGTCCTGGTATGCTGTTCTAAACTAGAAAGCACCATGGTGAGGAGACTGACAGATGGTAGCTGGAACTGTTAACCCTAAAATTAAGATAATCTTTTTACCAGCAGTAACAGTTTATGCAGGAGTAGCAGAGGACTGCGATGGGGACAGCACTGCAGCAGAACCATCACATGTCTGGGGAACAAAGGAGAGGGGCACTTTTACACAGGAGAGGGGGCTGTTAGGAGGGATGTTTCTAAGCAGAAGGCCCACTGGAGAAATTGGGAGTCCATGTAGTGCAGCTCCTCACTGGCTGGGCTGTGGCGGGAGGAAGGTGGAAGCTGCGTTCCCCCTACTGGGTGGTAAAGTTGCTGAAACCGTGGAGGCTGAGGAGCTCTGGGCATGAGTGCTTCCCCTGCAGGCCTCCCTGTGCCACGTCATAAGGTTTCCCACCATTACTTTCACAGAACTAGTCCCAGAATCTTGGTACTAAGGCCCTGCAATCCACTTTACTTGTACATTCCCCAAATCCTCATCTTCTAACTTACTTCTCTAAACCCTGACCCCCATCCCAGCCACCGTGCCAAAGGCTCCCCACAATGCTCAAAGCCCATGCCCAGCTCTCTTCTGTAAGCCCCCAGGAACTTCTCTCTACCTGGTGCTCTTACTGACCTGGGAGGATGAACTCAGCACCAGCATGAGTACTGGTGTCTGTCTTCACCAAGCCGGTGGGCCTCTCCCACTATCCTATGTGGACTGCAGGATAGGTTCGGGTCACTGCTGGTCCCTCAGGGAGCCCACAGGCTGTCGCCCTCTTTATCCTCTCCTTGAACCTGCCTTTATTCAAGGGCACAATTAAGACCAAACAGGGATATATATCAAGAGTTTCCTAACCACCAGAGCTGTCTAAGTAGAATACACTCTCCTTATAGAAATGTTTCGGACAATCATGGCAATCCTCTGGCCATGGGGTAGAGGGTGGTGTTTGTGTGTGTGGTGGGAGGACCTCAAACATGTTTTATAGGGGTGTACTATACATGTCTCAACTCTCTTGCAAATTTGAGAACTAATTATTCTCGTTAGTAAAAACTGTGGAGGTAGGATTTCCAGTTTCTCGTCTAGGTGTAAGGAGCCGCTCTGATATGGAAGTTGCTCTGTTCTCCCGAGTAAAAAGCTCAACAGACTGAAAAAGTCCTCAGCTCTTCCTAGAACTGTCAGAGGAGTGAGTTTCCCCCATCCCCACTGATCCTGTGTATTTCATAGTGGTACCCCCAACTGTGCAGCCCCCAAATTGGAGTGTCCAACAGTCCAAACAGAATTGTGACTGGAGAAGAAATCCACAAACAGAAACTTTCCCAGGAAGCAGTGTCAGCAGGAAAACCTAAACCATAACTGGCATAGCTGGGGGCTCAGTATGGACAAGTCTGAGAGCTAGGGCTCCAGAAGGCGTCCTCACACTTTTGAGTTTACCTTCAGGGCGTCTCCAGGTTCTCACAGTATCACGGAAACCTCCCTGTGCTTCCAGCAGTGGAGACCTCAGGGGGACCACTGTGATTGTGCCAGATTAGGGGAGAGACCAGTGTGAAATATGCCAGAGCATGTTGTTTTTAGCAAGGCCTGCCCTCAAGAGGAATTACTTTACCACGGCCTAACCTGCTAGGGCTTTATCCACCCCTAACTCCCCTGGGGGAAAAGAATATTCAATCCAGCCCCCTGCCACTACCTCCTTCCACTTGCAGGGTGGGGGAGACTGAGAGGCACTGGTGAGTTCCCAGGGGAGGCACCAGCTCACTAGGGGCCAGGGGCCTCATCGTGGGTCTGCAGGCTGCTTATCTCCTCCCCACACCTCACCACTACACTACAAGTCTGTTCCCTGGAAATGCTTTTACCCACTTTATCATATTTGACTTTCAACAAAAAAATGACAAGGCAAACTAAAAGGCAAAAACAGTTTGATAACATAGCACAGGCATCGGAACCATACTCAGATAAGAGAGGGATGTTGGAATGATGAGATTGGGAATTTTAAAAACCTATAAATATGGTAAGGACTGTACTGGAAAAAGTAGACAACATGCAAGAACAGATGGGTATATAAGCAAAGATGGAAATTCTAACAAAGAAAAAGAAATGCTAGAGATCAGAGTGACAGACATGAAGAGAACCTTGGATGGGCTCATTAGCAGACTGGACAAAGCTGAGCAAAGAATCCTTGAGTGTGAAGATACATATGTCAATAGATTAACTTCCAAAACCGAAAAAATCCAAGAGGAAAAAGATGAGGGTTGGGGGAAAAGCGAACAGAATATCCAAGAACTGGAGGACGAGTACAAAAGACATAATGTGGCTTAACGGGAACACTGGGAAAACAGAAAGGCACAGAATATTTGAAACAATAATGACTGAAAATTTCCCCCAAATTAATGTCAGACACCAAACCACAGAGAATGCCAAGCAGGACAAATACCAAAAAATGACACTAGCTATATCATACTCAAACTGCTGAAAATCAAGGATAAGGAAGAAATCTTAAAAGAAGCCAGGGGGAGCCCCACCTTCCCTATACAGGAGCAAATATAAGAATTAAATTGAATCCTCAAAAACCATGCAAGCAAAAAGAGAATGGACTGAAATATTTAAAGGGTTGAGAGAAAAAAAACAACAAATCCTGTGAAATTATCCTTCAAAACTGAAGGCCAATTTTTGCCAGTAGACCTGCCATACAAGAAATGTTAAAAGTTCTTCAGAGAAAAGGAAAATAAATGCTATTGAGTCAGAATCTTGGACCTACAGAAAAGAAGGAAGCATATCGGAGAAG